GGTTTTTGTTAATGCCAAAGAAGAAATAAAATAAATTAAAAGCACCGAGGCAATTACTCACTCGAGTATTTCTGAATTCAAAATCAGAAGCCCTGGAGCAGAAGGTTTGATTAGTTCAGAGCCTGGAGCACAGAGCAAGATTTCTGCTGGCTGTTGCTTAAGGCCCTTGAGTTCACAGTATAAATAAGGAGTCTCAGCAGTTCACAGACTCCAGAATCAGGACTAAGTCTGATACTGAATGCATTTAGGAGCCTCCAAATTCCTAAAACTCTGCAGCTTCTTCATTTTCAGATGTACAAAAAACTATTCTGAGTAAATGGTCCCTTCCTGAACCCAGGTTTAATCCTGGTTAATTCAGGTTTTAATCCTAGTTCAAGGAGCTGGATGACAAGCGCCCCATTTTCAATCTGAATTCAAAAACCATCCCCACACAACGTCAGAACAGCTTTTCTTGAAGCTACCCTCCATCGAGCACTACAAGAGGCAGATTGTGTTACCTCTGAACCCCTCACAGGCAACAAAGCACAGCAGATGACTTTCCAGCTCTTGCCCATCTCTGACTCGTTTCTCGGAGCACAGAAAACAGCTGCTTGCTATGCATCGGCTGAGCTCGTGGCATGACAGATTTCTTCAAACCAAGAGAGAAACACCAATACTGAAACAGAAAACAAATCTTAACCCAACCTGAGTTGTGCCCAGTCCCAGGCCTGCAGCAAGCACTCTAAGGAAGCAGCAGTCAGGCATCCAACCTAAGGAAAATATTCATGTGGTACCTTTCCTGTCATCAACAACTATTTAGGCCAGTCCAGTGGAGCCAAAATTCACAGCTGTAATAGGTCTGCATGGACCAAAAAGCCTTATATATTTTAAATGTCTATAGTTCATACAGTTGAAGAATATTCTTGAATAACTGTGATTTCTTTAGTACATACCACTGTGAATTAGCTCTTTTTCAGAGACAGCAATCACAGGGTCATTATCAGATGTTCCTATTTCAACAATGATGTCAAAGGGAGGCAACTTGATTGCATGATTGTTCAAAATTTTGCAGAAAAAGAGGGCTGTTCCAACTATTTAAATATCTGCTACCTGCACTGAAAAACACAGTTTTGGAGGGGTCATGATCAGATAAATCTTGATTCTTGGTGCATTACTTAAGATTTATGCCAGAGTAAATCTAATGAATGCGGTGTATTTAAAGACACTGATCTTTAAGCTAGTCATCTTCAAACCCTTAATGCTCAAATCATGTTGGAATGCAACAAGGCATACCTACCCCATCTGACTGAGATGGCATCTAGTATTTTTTATATTAAATGTATACAAAATACCACTGGACATTTGCTTATTCAAAAGTCAAAGGGAGAAACTAGTTACCAGGAGCAGCTAACAATAATTTTATCAATTTTTGCTCCCAGGCAATGGTGATATGATGTACAAAGCACCAAGACTGATTTTTAAAGTTCATTACAACCTCCTGAGCAATAAAATATAGTTTTTTGAGACAAAGCTGACCTGTTAGTTATATTTGTATTGCTTCTCATCTTCCTATCACAACAAGATGTGAAATGTGTCAAATATTTGGGATTAAATGTACCAGACATATTACTGCTCCTATCGCAATAGAGGCTTTGCTTCTCAATTTCTATAGAGGCTACTGACAAAGCAGTGATTTTTGCCCTAAATATGTAGCTTGATTCAACATGATTTCTGAATCATCTGAGATAACATGACTTTTTTTTTTTTTTTTTGCCTCTATCAAAACGCTTTGAAATACTGCCAGTGAGTTGCTATGTGAATCAAGAAGAAAAATATGATGGGCAGTGACTGAAGTGACCAGCAATCACACAACGTTTTCTCCCATAGCAAACAGCTCCTCTGCGCTATCGCAGCCCCAGCGAACAGTTGCCTGATTATTTACTGTCACAGCCAGGGACGTGGTCAGCAGCCAGAATTTGGAGCCATACAAATATCCTGGTTTCGACAGTTAAAGCAACCATGTCCTTTGTTTTGCACAGCCTGCCTGACCTGCAGCCTACTTGGGCTGTGGAGAAAGATGAAGAGTGAAATCGGACTTCTCTACATTTGAACAGGGCTGTTATTTTTTTCCCTAAATCAAAAGGCCCGAATGTCTTAATGATGAGGCATCATATGATTCCAAGCCTAAGACAGGCGATGAATTTTGTACAGCTGACTCTGCTAGTTACAGTACTCAACAGCTGGGGCATAGATAATTTGGCACCCTGATAAATACAAGAGCATTCTGCAGACTGCAAAAAGGAAAAGGGAAAGAAAAAAAAAAGAAAAAGAAACATTAGCATTAATATTATTCATCGAAGCTCACCTTAAAACCCTAAGATCGACATGTTTTGCATTTGATTAAGAAAACAAATACAGGCAGTGTTTACAAAACTGGGAAATTCAGAGAAATGGCACTCCCTCTTCAAAGCATATATCGTAGCAATTCTTTTCTGACTAGATCAGCTCCCATAGCAGGTCGTCAGAACAACAATCACTGTAGTGAAGTCATACTACTGGGACTCGGATGGGAAATCATGAGCGGCTTGGAAACACATTGTGAAAAATAATGTATTTTCCAGGCTTCCAATATATCATAATTAAAACAAGTCCGAACCTTTACCTTTGCTCCCAATGGCTGAAGAAAGCATACCTCAAACAGCAAAATAAAGCACACTGATGCACTCAATATGACACTAAAAATTAAGACAGCTGAAACTGGATCCTTCTGAACAATTTCAGGATTTAGCTGTCACCAAAACCAGCATGTTGACAGACCTGACGTGGCCCCCACAATATAAAAAAGTCAGGTATTTCCAGAATTTATTTCTAACAAACGTGAATTTGTTTTAGGAGTTTAATTTAACTAAAATCCATTTATCCACTAACACTTGAAAAACAAATGTTTCAGTCTCTACACAGACAAAACTCCCACTGAAATTGGGAAAATTAGGCCTAATATCTTTCCCAGATTTTTAAGCAAGTCGACAAACTGGTATGAGACCAAACCTTATTAAACCTGAGTACAGCAGCAAATCAAAAGTAATCTAAAGCAGAACAGCAGTGTTTTAAATTAGAACCAGGATAGAAAAACAAGTTTTTCTCAGTGTTTTGTTTTGTGTTTTTTTTTTAATTTACAATGTGAAGTCTACTTGCTATTTTTTTGGAAAAAAATTATTTCAGCTACATATGAAGTAATTGATAAAAAATAGGGAGAGTATAGAATAAAGATGTCCTTTTGAAGACAATCTGTTCCAAACCATAATTATTCCTCATCTAAAATGCACTAATGCATTTCAGTACTGAAACAGTGCACATGCTCCAGAGCTGCATTGACACAATGGGCAACAGACACAAAGAAGTCATTAGTCAATACTGTTAATGACACACGAGATTGCAAGTGGCACAGGTAGAAAGTACTCTGAGAGCTGACAAGTTCCCATTTCACGACAACCATCTGTAGGTGGGTTTTGTTGTTTTTTTTTTCCCCAAAATCTTACCAGTGACAACCAGGATTAAATAACATCCACTATCGATATCTTCGAATCAAGCTGTCTTAAGCTGTGCCACTCCCATTCCCATCAGTGGGAACCATTTAACTAAAACCTTCAGAACTGCCTGGAAGCACACAGCTGAAAACCCACGATCCTTCAAAATACATGCTTCAGATATAAAATCCAACCGATCTTTTCCCCAAATATCACAGAAGAACTCAGCACATCAACCGTCAGCCCTGACATGCTGTGAAAACTATTTCTGGGACGCGGATCCAATCTGAACGGTAACCCCATACCTTTTTACTTTAATTAAAATCAGACCCGTAACACTTTTGAAAAAACGCTTTCAGATTCAGTGTTAGCGAACGTACTGCAAAACAGTCAGCCATCACGTCTCCTAAACCGCCTCCTCCATCCCAGTTAATTAAAAAAGCAATGCAATTTACATGTCTAATAGGATAGATTTAGTCGCACACATCGATGCTGTGACAAGCGTTTCTATTTTCCCCGATTTTTTCCCCGCATTCAATGATAACAGAAACCGCCTCAGGTGCCATATAAACCAAGATCCTCCTTCGCCCAGCTACCAACGCAAGGTGAAAGATAAGCTCCACAGATAAATGGCCACGGAGACGTAAAACACCGTCCGCGTTTCACTCGGGGGAAAAACCATCATCATCATCATCATCATCATCGCTGCGTCTCGAGGCGAGGAGTTGCACACGGGTCGCCCACCAGTCATGGTTTGCTGTGGGACCCACAGGGCACCTGCCGGTGTCCGTGTGTCCGTGTCCGTGTGTCTGGGGGTGTCCGTGGGGCCGCCCTACCTTTGTATCTCTCCAAGACATCCTCGTAGGCTTGCAGGTACTCCTGCTCCTCGGCGTAGAAGTAGGCGCCGGGGGAGAGGTAGCCGGCCATGGCTGGGGGCTAGCGCGCACTGCCCGCTGCCCAGCTCGGCTCCAGACAGCGAGAAGGGAAAAAAAAAATAGGGAAAAAAAAAAAAAAAAAAAAAGAAGAAGAAGAAGGGTGGGGGGGGACCGCTAGCGGCAGGAGGAGGAGGAGGAGGCCGAGGAAACGCCCATGCCCCCGCCCGGCCGCGGCGCTCGGGTTTCAGCAGGGGGCGGCCGGGCTGGGGCTGGGGCTGGGGCTGAGGCCGCCCCCTGCTGCTTCCCCCGGGGCCGCTCCTCGGTCCTGGCCCCGGCCCCTTCCCCTGCCGGCCCTCCCCGGCCCCCGAGTGCCCTCCCCGAGGCTCGGCGCCTCCTCCCCGCGGCCGCCGCCGCTCTCGCCATGCCCTGAGGGGGGACGCGCCCCGCCGCCAGGAAATGGCCGCCCCCGGGGCTGCCCGGGGGGCACGGGGGAGACGCGGAGAAGGGGGCTCGGGGCTCGCCCCACGCACCTGCGGGCAGCCCCCCCGTCCCTAAAAGCCGGGTAAAGAGCTTCGTCACCCCGCCTGGCTCCCCCCCCCCGAGCCCCGCCGCCCCTTACCGGCGATGCGCAGCACGGCTCTCTCGGCGGGGTCCAGCACGGAGCCGCCCTGGATCTTGCGCTTGGACCGCTCGTGTTTGGGCAGGTTCCAGGGCAGGGTGTCCCCCGGAGCCGGCGACACCGTGCCGGATTTGTGGCTCGAGTCCTCCTCGTCGGAGAAATCGGCGGACGACGACATGGAGCAGCGGTGGGACGTGGGGCCGGAGCTCTGCGCGGGGACAAGCACACACAGGGGGTGAGGGGACGCTGAGGGGCAGCCCCCATGGTCCCCCCCTCGCCGGGGGGAAAGAGGGAAATGGCGATAATAATTACAAGGAGGGCAGGGGACCGCCGCTCACCATGGCTGGGAAGGCGGTGGGGTGATGGAGGGGTGCGCGGGAGGGGTGCGCCCCCACCCCAAAAAAATAAAAGCAGCCTCTAGGGGAAGCGCACTGGGGAGGGGGGATGCGGGAGCATCGTGGCTGCCCGGCGGTCCTCCGGCTTCCCCCACAATGAAGCCAGCAGCGGCAGCAGCAGCAGCAGCAGCAGAGACAACAACAACAACAAAAAAACCTCCCGGGCTGCCAATCGGCAGCGTCTGGCTCCCCCGGCAGGACGAGGCCGGGCTGCGCACCCCAACAGCTCCGCGGGCCCTCAGCGCCCCCCGGGTGCTGCCCGCAGGGGCACACGCCTCACAGAACTCGTTTATTTTCAGTTTTTACCCTCCTCCAACCCATCTAGACTCCTTTTTCTTTTTTTTTTTAGTACTAAAGGTGCTAGGATTTTAGGCTTCCCTTGTAGCGTAGCCCTCTTTTTTTTGGGGGGGGGGCACCTTAAAATTACAGAGGAAATCACGTTGTGACAGGATCTGGTAAAATTTGCTGCTGCCGTCTGGACAGAGCCACTGCTGCTTTTCATGGGATGGACAAACAAACCTTTATACCTTTAAACCTACACTAGGGGTATTTCACTCTTATAAAAGCAGAAAAATTGCATAAGCCAGAGTAGCACTGTGGTGCATGACGTGCTGCACAGAAAACCGCCCGTGATATACTGGCAAATAATCTGCTGAATAAGGGGGTCTCCCTTCTCACTGGGTGCTCCTCCCTACGTCATTCATCTCCATGCTAGTCCCTTTTTCTCTTTTTACAGTGCTTGATGGTAAAGTTCAGAGGGGATGGAGAGAGGGAAGGGATGCATAAAGACAACAACTAAATTTCCCTCTGTATGGTGACAGAGGGAGAGCACCGGGTAGCACAGATAAACAGGAACACGAGATGTATGACCCCAGCCCTAACTATCTCTGCAATTAGTCTGAGTAGCCAGGAACATTCTGCTGCCAGTTTACCCAGGAAGGTAAAACTCTCCATCTAATCTCATAAATTGGGAGGGTCACAGGCCGGTGTCTTGCTGGCAGCCCGCTGCGGGGCAGGGAGGGCAGCTGGCTGTGCCGCTGGGGTAACAGGGCCTGGGATGTGCTTTGGCACAGATGAGGTTTCCTGGGGCCTGGCCATAGCTCCAGATTTTGCAATGAAAGAGAAAGTGTTCCCTTTAATCCCAGCGCTGAGCATCCTTCTCTTGGCTGCTCGGTAATCCTCAGTATTTTTGGGTCACACATGGAGATGGAGGCAGATTTTGCCCTGCAATGTCTTCAGGTTCTGCATTTCTACCATTTCACATGAAAACTTACAAAGAAACCAGACATGGTGTTGTGAGGGTGCTGCAGTGATACTTTGTTAGTATTTAGCTAGCAGCTGGACACATACAAGGACAAAGTAAAATAGCAATTGTTACTGAAGCTTCAGAGAAAGAAATCGCAACCCTATGTTTACCTTTAAAAGAACATGTTAATTTTTATCCAGCAAGTATCTCTTTTCTCAAAAGAAACCATAATAGCCATTCTTGTTTAAATAACCGATTTTAAAGCTCCTTCTACCCTTAGAAACCAAAAGCGCTGTCAAGGGACGGCTCTATACATACCACTGAATGTGCCACACCCTCTATTGAGAGGTCAATTTTAGGGAAAAGGAGACTGTTCTGGTCAGCTGTGCTGTGGTACTGGGAGATGAGCTCTGTGACAAGACGCAGCTCCCACATTTTTGAGAAATTAAACTCAGCGGGCAAAGGTAGAACAGTCCTTGGCACCTATGTGCATTCTAATTAGCTCTGCTCTTTTACATTGTTCCTCGTCCTTACTTCATGCACGCACTAACAAAACTAATGAACAAAACCCACTTCAGCTTACTAACTCTTCAGGAATCACGTTACCTCATTTTCTGAAAAAAAGGTAGGATTCTTGGAAAGAAATTTTTCATAATAGGGAGATCTGGCAAACTTGCATCTAAAAAGTCATGGTAATGCCAACTTTTAACTTAATTACAGCCTACATTTTTTACTCAGCATGGAGATACTTCTGAGTAATGCATACACAGAGCTATTGAACACCTGAGTATTTTTAAGAATTTGGACTTTGCTATTGCAAAGACGTTTGTAATGAAGTTGAACAACTGCTTAGCTTTGCTTGAGTAAATTAATAGCTTTGATAAGAAGTCTGTAATTATTCTCTTTTGCACAGCCACTGTTCAAAACATGCTTAACAGTCCTTCTGCTGGATTGTTTGTTTCCAGCAAACACATTTTCCATGCCATAGCAGTAAGACCCGAGTAAGCATTCCATGATTACAGCAACATGTTCACCAATTTAAAAAAATATATATCAGAAAATCTGTGATATCCTGAAAAGGGTTCCGGGCTGATTAGTATTGAACAAGAAAAAAATTGGTCATATTGTGTTAAAATCCAATTATGTAAGGCACTTCTGTTATTTTTCTTTAAAGCACATCACGGTATGCAAGTGAAAAACAACTGTTAGTAATACACGACACATTTTTTGGTCACGGGTGAAGTGTCTTTTATAACCACTAAAATATTGATCAGGCACATCCTTACTTAGCCTACCCTGAGACTTAACAAGGGTCAGGGCTTGACCCTGCTTAGCTGGAAGGCCCGTAGGGTCACTCTCCAGCTGCTATAGCTGCTTATTCTATGCCTCCGATTATGCATTCCTTCTGCTCATTAGACTAAAGATTGATCTGTAGCCTCTGTTTTTGGTCAGGGGGAACCAGTGAATTTGCATAATATTCATGCATCTAACAGCTTGTGCATTGAAGCCTGTTGGTCATACATAAGCAAATCTAAGATGAGTTTTGTCTGCATTATAAGTACAGGATTAAATTTAATGCATCGCCTCACCGTCAGGGCCACAGGGGGGTGCAAACTGCACGCAGAGTCCCTGCTGCTGTGTTTCAGGAGGCAGAGCGGCTGGGGCCAGCCGGCATTCAGGAGAGCAGCATTCGTTGCTGCCAGTATCTCGGTTTTTCTCTGAAATCAGGTGACTTGCAGCAGCTGAGAGTCAGGCCTGTTACTGTGCTATAAAAGCAAGGCAGTTTCCAGTAATGGGGATGACTCCAAAGAAGCGTTAGTGTGCTTCTTGTAAAAGGGAGTTGGCGAAGCATCAAGCCGTGATTTTCCTTTGAGGAGGGAAAGAAGGATCGTTGTTGTAGGTAAGGCACTGCAGATGATCAAGTGGAAATCAGGTGGAAGATGGTGCAGCTGGAAAGCAGTGTACGCTAACACACAGCACCATGTACCCGAGGAGCCACACCTACGGGATCTGATACCCCCAGGAACGCCAGTGGGATTTGCACTGTCATTCCTCACAGGGGAAACAGCGGCAGAGATTTACTGTAGCAGTTTTTGAATTCTGTCAAGCAATCGAGCTGGCAAAAGCAGCTAAGAGGCTCATACCGAATCATATTGGAAATGTTCTCCATCTTTATGACGTTGGAGATTGCGCTGCCTGCTGAATTCTGATAAAGCAGTAGGAGTTATAGGTATGCTGTACTTTCCCATCTTATTTTTAAGAAGGATTTCCACTGCAGTGGGTCCTTTCACACTGTTTTTTTGGAAGCTGCTGGGAAGTATGGCTCAACATTGCCCTGTGCTTCTGACTGAGATTAAATTCTCAGTTCAGCTAAGAGTTATTTGTACATCACTCATACTGAACTATTCTCAGAATTCCAGGAATACATTCTCTTTTCCTTCATCATACTCATTGTGGACAATGAATAAACATGAACAGATATAAAGGAGCATGGTTTTGCTGCATGTGTTTCAACAAAATCCTTCCTAATTTAGAATAACTTAGATATCAGTTGAATATAACATGCTATTTTTGTCTTTTAACATCCCAGATTGAATGATATTAAAGTGGATCAACTTTTAAAGTGAAGTTACTTAGTAAATTTGAGACAAAATCTAGGGCAACTGCATGTTCCCATTAGTAAATCTTTACCAGTTTAACCTGATTAGATGATAATGCCATGCACAATACAAAACATCCAATGTATGTAATCAGGCTAGGCAAGCCCCTTGGGAATGCATGTTGTCAGAAATTACCAAAATTCAAAACAGACACAGAAATGAAAGTACAAACAAGGGCAATGTAAAAAGCAACGATGCTGACAGAGAAAGAAAGGAAGAGAGAAAGAAAAAGAAAATCCACCAGTGGGGACTGAGTTGTATTTAATAAGTATTTTCTCTCTGGTTCTGTGCCAGTCATTTAAGAGGACATCCATGTTTGAAAGTGCCTACGCTACCAGGATATGCAAACATAACTAGTTTCTGGCTTTGTGTATAAAGTTATAAAGCAGAAAACTGGAGGGCAAATACTCTAAATATCAACCTCCAAAGCATCAAAGGTCTGATTCTCTGTTAAACTACCTTAGTGAACAGTTAAGTTTTTCATGAAGACAAATTATTGCTTTGTAGAGATAATTTACATTGTCTGTCTATCTTACAGGCAAGAGAAGACGGAAATAAGCATTCAGTGTTTATTCTATCACATGCAGAACATGTATTTTGAGCCTGTGATTGTATTTACAAAAGGAAATCCTGATAATTTCATAGGCTTTCAAAAGGAGATGGGTTCTTTTCGAGATGCTTGTAAGTCAATTTCTACCATTTCCCCACTTTGAAAAAAAAAAAAACTTAAAGAGGTAAGAAGACAACAAATGTATTATTAAGGACATGAAATTCCACAGCACATAAAGGACTAGACCTACATATGTACTTGGATATTGCAACCCATTTTTCTAACTTCAAGCTACGTTTATTGGATAACCACCTAAAACTCAAGTGATACAAAACTGAGTTTTCTGGTCAGAACTAAGTAGTCAGAAAAATGTGGTCACCCGGGACAACACAGTCCCTCGTTCAAGAGTTCAAGACTTCTTGGCGCAGAAAGAGAAAGTGAAGAGTGCAGCGATCTGCATCAGAGCCATCAAGGCTCTCTGCGGAAAGAGGAAAGTGCTGGGTTACGATCCCTGCTCCCACGACTGCTTATGCAGTCTGCTATAAGTAATAATTGGATAAAATACTGAAGTAGTTGCTGGATGAGACATGTGCAGTGGAGGCAAAAGAAACCACAATGCAGCTTGTGTACTGTTTCTCTCTACTGCAGGGATACAATAGATACCAAGTACTTATTGGTCTGAAGTGATACTGTTCTCTGTAACTTAACAAAATAACAATAAATCAGTGAATATTACGCCACAGAGAGCAGAGTTTCTGTTCCATTTACTTTACGTATTGGTGATCTCCTTCAGGAGCAACAAGTTGAGAGATGCTCCACGTTTGCAATTCCCTGCTAACAGTGTGATGAGCTGCCACAGTAATCTCCACAGGTCTCAATTTCTACCACTGACAGTGGGGTAAGAGAAAAGTAAAGCAGAAACTTTTCTCTGAGGAAACTCTCTGGAGTTTATATGTTGCTGTGCAGGGGAAACCTGCTTGTTGCTTTTTTGTTTGCTTGTTTCTTTTCTTTTTCAAATTAATAGATTGAAAAGCAAGGCATACTTCACTCTGTATAAGTAAGAAGATCTGTACACAAGTGGAGCCAAATATGTTCAGCTGAAAGTAGCCACTTTGTGCCAAAGCCCAGTTCTCCTGAAGCGCTGTTTAGTAAAACCGTGCTAATGAAAGTGGATTCATTCTGAATGTAGCTTGAAAACGAATAATATCATCAGCAAGACAGCCTTGATGTACTCCATATTTAATCCATTCCCCTATTTCTCATCCACTTCTCTATTCAGTTTTTCAATATGAATTGCAGGATTTAATCTCAAAATAGTGTATGTACATTGTAGAATTAGATAGAAAGGTATTGAAGATTTTGCAGATGGGAAAGAAATATTTGGAGCTCTGAGCATCTGGGAAGCATGTGGAATAGGTATTTCAGTAGAGTTTTATGCTAAAACCATCAGCAAGATGGAAGTGTTACTCCCATTAAAATTATCTTTTCAAAATCAATGCTTCCTAGATATTAATATGGGAAGTACCTACAATGTCACAACTTCACAGCCTCCGAATTCACAGTCTCATGTGAATTATTTTTGTGGAAGAAGTGCATATACCTTAGATGACTGCTGTACATAGCTGTTGCAAAAAAACTCTCATTTACTAAAAATAAACTTTGTATTAACTTTAAATTGTATCTATCTTGCATTCACTCAGATCCTCCTAGTCTGTCAGGCACAGAAGAGAATGAAGTGACAGATAAGCTTATGGTCTGAGAAGGGCACACGGTAATTTTATCTGCTTACTAAGCCCACAGGACCGATCATGCAACAGACAAAGAGTCTGGAAGAAGAAATCGCCTAGCCTCAAATGCTTTTCTCAGCCTCCTATACTTCTCACTGTAGATTACATATAATGTTTTAGTAAAAAAAAAAAAAAAACAAATTACCCCAACTGTAAAAGGTAGATCAGAGTATGAAAGCACTATGGACAGAAAAAAGGCACATTAAAGTTTTAAATGATTTTAGAATCTCTGATGGGCACAGGTTGTTTCAAGGAAAAAAAAAAAAAAAAAAAAAGGAAGACTTAGAAAATATTTTTTTTAAATGACATAATGGAAATCTAAAATATTAGTATTGATATTCTGCTTTCAGTCATGAATGTTAACATTCCTGACTGACAGGTTACCCTCCTTTTAGGCTTAAACATTCATTTGTTCTTTTTAAGCTGTTTTAAAAGTTGCATAACAGCATTCAATCAATATTTAACCATTTGAAAATGTAAGTTCTTGTATTACACAACAGCAGTAATATCGTTAATAATTATCAAATTGTTTTCTCTTGTAAAATCAATTTCAGTTGCCTCATCTTATGTTTGGTTGAAAACACTCCCTGCCCAAAGCTGGATTTTCCCCAAATTTTTCAAAGGCTGACTCAGAAGCCTGAGAGCAGGACTGATGAAAATATCCAGTAGGTTTTCTGAGGACTCTGGGCTTCAGAACAGATTTCAGTTCTCAATATTCTTCATGCTAGACACAGACCTTTTGTCCTCTTTCTTAAAGGCTTGTCTAAATTTGCCAGTGCTAAGTCTTTAAAATATAAATATCATCTGCTAGCCTTGGCATCAGGGAGTATAAAGTAAAGCTCTTGAAAGCTTGGGTTGAATCTCACTACTCTGACTAGAAAGCTGCTCCAGAACTTACTGTTCCCTTGATTAGAAGTAATTTTCCTTTAGTTGCCACCTGAAATTCATACCTGCTCTTTAGTTTTTGTGACAACAACATTCATTTCCTTAAATATGTTTTTTTGCTTCGCTGATGCGTTCATAGCCTGCACTGTACCTCCTCTCAGCATTTTTTGGTTTTGCTGAGCAAGCCAACTTCTTTTAATCTCTTATCTGCTTGTCCTTCTCATCTCATAGACCTTCTCTGCAACATTAAGCTTCACTATTCCTAGGGCTCAGGTGACTACCAGTGTGATTTTACCAGAACTTAAAAAACAAAAAGAGAAAAAGAAAAAAAAGAAAAGCAAGGCCAAATGTAACATTTCAATTTATCTACGTAGCTAAAATCTCTTCAGGCTGGCACTCACTAAACAAAGCCTCTGAGGACTCCTACAGCTGCCAGGCCACCATCACGGCCTGACCACCAAGCCAAGTCCGCCCTCGCAGCCCTTCCCTCCGATGTCAGGACACCTACCATCCTCGCTGAGGAGCTGAGCAGGATCCTTCCAGCCTGCAGATACGGAGGCAGCATTGATCTCTCCATCTAACAGCTGCCTGCTGAGGTTGCAGGCTGATGGCAGTGTGAGCAAGAAGCATGGAGAGCCAGGGAGGGCAGGCAGCAGACCTGCCAGGAGGGAGGCTGTTTCTTTTATGCTCCTGGTGATTTGGCCGGCCGTGCTCAGCCAGCAAGAGGAAGAAGCCGTACGATCTGAGCGCAGGGAGGACAAACACCGGAACCAGCACACGGGAGGAAAGGGCTGGAGAAATACGCCAGGGAGTGACAGGCTGAGGGACAAACACGGAGACTGGCTGACTCCAGAAATAAGTCTGGGAGCTGGAGCTGAGGAGAAAACGTGTTCAAGGGCAAACAGGCTGGATAAAGACTAGAGGAGAAATGGAGATGCGAGGCAACAGCTGGGACCAGTAACCAGCAGTGCTGGAGAGAGAGACCAGGGAGAGCTAAGGATCTGATGTGCTGGCATGAAGCTGGTATTGCCTCAGCAAGAGGCTCTGAACGAGGTTCTCTGAGGAACGAGGAAGGTACGGACCTGAGGAGAGGCAAACAAGAGCCAAGGAAGCTAACGAGGAGCACATAGCCAGAGGCCACAGGGAGAAACAGAAATCAAAGAGCTGGCTGAACAAGTGCCTCTGAGCATCACGCTGACTGAGCAGGTGAGCCTGGGGATGTCACACGCAGAGGGTGTGACACAGAGGAGCGATTCGAGGGCTGACAAGGAGAGAGACAAGGGCTGAGGTTGGCAGAGGAGTAAGGACAGGAGGCAGCAAGACTGAGCAGGTGGGAGAAAGGAGACAGTGGTGGGACAGAGGCAGGTCAGGAGCGGGCTGGAGGGGACAGGGTAGAAAAATGGAAGCTTGGGAAGAATTAGCAGAAAAAAAGCAGGTTCCCCTAAGGGACCTGTAGGAGAACTGGGATTTCACCTAACTCAGCCACCTGAGGGCTCCTCTAGGAACATTACCTCCATCCCTTTGTTACGGATTCACGAGGAGGAATACAAACATTGTCAGTCTCTGCCTGAGCTCCAAGAGCAGAAATTTCTGTGGTCTGGTTCAAATGCCAAAACCTGCTGATGGTTCACACAACAGAGCTTTATTTTTAAGTTTACTTTTTCTTTTTTTTTTTTTCCACAGTAAGGAATTAGACACAAAGTTTATGTTAAAGTACTGTTTTTAAGGTCAAGCACTAAAATGTTACCACATTCCAGACTCAAGGTTCACCACACAAGCTTCATTCAGCCTTTTCTTTTTTCCTATCATGGCACAGTCGTAATGATGTGGTCATATGCTGTTGTGTCCACAGTCTTTTGCTCCTATTTAGTACAAATAATGAGCAATATTCACTCCATAAACAGGTGTTCAATATTTTATCATCCTGATTTCAAAGGGCAGCCCCTAAACTTATTTCATACTATTCAAATAATATGAAAAAAAATATTTCTGTTTAAACCATTCTGTTGTGCTCATTACTACAGTAGTATCTCACTGCTCTGTAAGTATGAATGATCTTCCACATCACACAGGGCATTAAAAATGAACGGAAGAAGACAGTTTTGATACCTAGGTCAAATTGAGATACCAGAGGCCTCATTTTTAGGAGTTATTACAATTATGTATCAGCAACACACAGACCACGGCACACGGGGAGTTCAGTGGTGAATGGCAGTTCGAGAAGTTTAGCAACTACATGCTTTAAATCATGCCCTTAGAAAACGGAGGATAAAAAAAATGTTTTAAGCCAGTTGTTTGGCAAGTTCACAGTGACCTTGTGCCCATCCTTCACCCTTCAAGGCAGCACTCGCTGCTTTTTATAGAAATAAAAGATCCTTTCTCTTCTCGCAATCTCCTGTTTTATTCATTTACACACTCTACAACTTCTGCAGTAGAACTCCTACACATAAGAGTCATCCTAAGAGCACTTCCATCCTGCAATGGATACAGAGTACATCCTGTGAGAAAACAGTATGCCATCATACATTTAAAGTCTGTATGACAATGCAGATGCACAGTTGACCGAAGTGAAGCTGCATGGGTAGCCTTAATTCCAGCATTTCCTAACGTTTGAATACTTGCCTTTGCCAAACTATTCTTTCAGCATAATACCCATGTGCAACGTTATATATAAATACTAATGGAAAAGGGAGTCCCTTGCTATATAAAGATGCAGTGTTTATGTGCCACAGTAGGATGTTATACAATAGAACTCTGAAGACTGGCTCCTGAGGCAGCGAAGGAAGAGGAAACATCTGCATTTAGCCTTCATAATTACTAGGCATCTGAGAGACAATTACTGGTCATTTTTAGTCGTGCAAACAACACCATCATAACAAAATCATAGCTGATTAATGATTTATTTTTTTTTAACCTGCCTCCTGCTACCGTACAAAATTTAGTATTTGTGATCATTTACATAAAACTCATTTTGGTACTACTAAGACCACTAGCATAGTTTAGCAGCTTGGGTTTACATTACCATCTTGCAAGGGAAGACATTGGGATTAAAAAAAATAAAAATCTGAACAGTTAAAAATTTAATTTCTCAGCTGAGGCTACGCTGCATACACATAGTGTAATCTCACCATTGAACACCAAATCCCAGTTGCTATAAATCATGGCCAAAAAAAAGTATTAGATGTTTTTCAAGCAAAAATTTTACAGCTCTATTTCTTTGATACAACAGTTGAAGAATATTTATCTATTTATCTCATTCACTTCTAATTTAGTAGAATGTTAACTTCAGCTCCAAGGACCAATTCTGAAAGCAATATAATGCAAAGCCAGGTTTATCATGAAGCTATTGCAATTTCAACAAAAATATAATCTGCATTTTAGAAAGGGCAAACCATCATACTGGTGAGTGATGTCTGATAGGTGTTAATCTGACTGTAAGCACTATATTCTATTTTTACATCAAAAGAACGTAATTGGCTATGCTGCTTTTTTCTTTTTTCCCCATCTCCTCCAAGACTGGCTATGCTGCTTTCGTTTTAATACAATTGTAAAAAGGAGAACAGAACATGAAGTCACGTCCTACAACAAAGATTGCTTCATGCTGATGGTGCACTTTGACCCCCTTTCAACACCTCAGATCAAGCAGAGACTTGGTTCAAATTCTCATCCCATTTTCACTAAGTAAGAATTTGCCTTGGAAATGAAAATTGATACAGACAAAATGAAAATTGTATGGAACCAATTCAGCTATCAAGAAAAAAAACTGTCATAATACAGGACTTTGCCCACTAATGCAGGATGATTTGAAGCTGTGTGTAGAAAATTAATATAGATATGATGCTATTTTCAACCACAGAAGAATAAATTCAAGTAAATATACTCCAGACAAGCATGATCATGCCACCATAGTGGACAATTAATTCAAATGACCTTAACTTTCTGGGTAAGAGCTAGCACTAGAGAGTCAATTCAGGTACTCTAAATGTGGAACTGCACAGTTACTGCTACCACTGCACTTATTTACACACATTTTTACAAACATGTATCATCAATAATTATTGCACTACTGCAGGTAAATACTACTTTTGCACTATGTTTAAGTAGATGTAGTAACTCATGCATTGAAGAAAATCACTAGAAAAGGAATAATCATTTCAAAACTCATGTCTAATTCGTAACACTTTACCATTGTGTTTTAACAAAAAATATTTTTCAATTTGTTAAGATAAAACCTTCCTGGCATACAGAAATCCATGGTACAGCATGCCTTTAAGAAATCCCTTCAAAACCATGAAGTACCTAGGAACTGGGCAAAAGGAATGGAAGAAACAGGCAATTGCTATCATGCAACAGATGAGCTGCAGGGTGGAGATGGAAAAGCAGCCAAGAGGAAATCAGGAGCAAGCAACAAGAGAGGAGATCACAGAAACTAGCAGAACAGTGGGGAAATAAAGGCTTTGCACAGAAGTGTTTCAAGAGAAGAATTTATCAGTGTGGATATTTATTTGCATGTAAGAAAAGCAATAAAACGCAACAGTCCAAGAAACTAATGCGAACACTCTCTTGGTAGGCATGTATATGTTTGGAACAAGGAGAGGGACCTTTAAAGTCAACCTAATGCCCACTGAAGGCTTTTGATTGATTTCAGAGATGACTGGACTTAACATTTACAGTCATATGTGCAAAGATCCTATGCACTTAAAATAGAGGCCCAGAGGTATGTTTAAAGATGCTTAAGACGACCAGATGCTTAAGTCTTGTCAAAATCTTTCCCAATGTATCCCCCAATAAACCCTCTCAGGTGCTTCTCAAAATTAACATCAGTGTTCTTTAGGTCAATACCTAAAAGCAAAAAATAAATTTAAAAAAAAAAAGCAAAAAATAGTCATTGCTTCATCTTCACACATTCCGTGCATTTCTTCATTGTGGCTCAATTTGTCACTCAGATTATCCTGAGAGAGGACGTGTGTGTGTGCACTGTGTAACTCAGATTTGTCATACGTTCTGAGAACATTAATATAATGTTAATACAAATGCCGAAGGTGAAAGATGATATGATTATGCTCTGCCATATTTGCTTCTAAATGTGATTCACAAGAGACACAATCCAACACAAGCAGATGTCTGCAAAAGAAAGCCATGAATGTAATCTACAGATTAAATAGCTAATAGTTGGAATTAGCAAATCTTGTGCAGGGTGATGAGTAATTTTTGTTTGATATCTGTGTAGGGTCATTCAAAATAACAAGTGAAGTACATCGTGATGTTGGAAAAACAGTAAATAACATCAGATTAAGAACAAGTGGAAGCTAGCAAAGTCAGATGGAAATTATTCAATGATACTTAAAAAAAACACCATGTGAAAAGCCCTTCAGAACAATTTTACCCACATGAAACATTTCATCTCAAGTAACCCAAGTGTCAACTAATACCGAGACTTCTATGAATGATTTTGTATCAGACATTTAAAAAAAAAATCATGCTTTTCTTAGAAGATTTTAAAACTGTTATTTTTTTTCTCCTCATAAATTTGAAGCCTTAAACACATAAAAGCAAAGACCAGGATAGCTGAATAAGACTGGATACAACAGCTCACAGCTTCAGATACATTATAAACTGATTAACTTTGCTTTCAAGTTTGTATAATCAGACTTTTTACAGTGTAAGCTTCACTTCAGTCACGGGAGTCTCTGGAGCCACATGAGGCTGCTTACATCAGTAGACTTTTTATATGTGCATCTGAAAGTGGAGGCACCGGCTTATTTATGCCCCAGGCTCCATAGTCTCGTCTGCCACTTGTAGCAATACTGTTATGACATATGCAAGTGCAAATTTTGGTACTACATCTCATCATCTTAAATAATCTGGGTGGCTGCATGAGTCAGGCAATTTAGAAGCCCTTCAAACTGTTTAACAATGAAGATGTCAAAAGACACTGCTTTGACAGCATCTCATTTCAGCTATGTGCTTAGAAACACAGGTGAGATTAGAACTGGCAGAAGTGTGTGTCTGACTGACCCCACAGCACAGAAGCCAGGTATCTTTACACAAACTCAGGGTCATCTTTTGGTTCCAGGCCATCACAGCAAAAAAAAATAATTATTAACAATTTATAGAGTTTTACACTCTTGCTTCAGATTGGGTCACTATGTAAAATACAGATAATATTTGCAAAACATAATAAAACCTCACAATTTTAACAGTTTAAAATTTGCCCTGGAGAAGTATTGCTACACAGCGGCAAACTCATAACAGGATCTTTCTTGCACATCCTTCTGCACCTTCAGAAAATTTAGCTGCCACACAGAATCAGCTACCTGTATGTATGGCTCCTTTGACTTTCCTGAAGTCACGCTAATTGAAAGATCACAGTCCTGCTTCTCAAGAGTCCTCCACTGTGTTCAAAAATTCAAAGCACACATCAGTAATAGATATCTGTACTCTTCTTGGTGTGAAGTTGACAAGAAAGTGTCACCTATACGATATGTCAGCACAAATAACACAGCTACCAATGAGGAGAAGACCTACAGGGCATGAGATTTAACACCGTGTCATAAAAGAGGCAAGCTACACAACATTATGCTGATGTTGCACTGCAGTAAGATGAATGAAATGAACTTGAAAGGGCATGAACTCTGTTTTGTAAGGATCACTTTCAGGCCAAAATGTATGTAACAGCTTCATTAATGACCTGGAAAGTACAAAAAATAATACAAATTTCCGAAGAAACCGATGTTCTCTTTCTGCAAGCAGCCGCTCATGGAGATTTTCAAAGAGAAAATTGTATTCAGTGAGGATTACTCCCATACACAATTACACCTAGTTTAGTTCTGACACGATACTGGAAAGATCTCAGATCACTATGGAGGAAGTGAGAAATAATCCAGGCAAATTGAGATAATTATAGTCCTGGCTAGGAAACCGCAAAAACAAGATTTAGATACAATAATATCAAGTAAATACAAAACAGCCTGAAATGGCAGGAATACCTAGAATCTAAACATCCAACAAAAATTTTAAAGAAATATCTGAAAAATGTTTAAGTGTATATCGTAACACAGCAGTAAAACAGGCCAACATACTTTAAGGCTGATTAAGCAAAAATTTCCTGGACTAAAGAAACATCTTCCCATAAGGCTGTTTCATAATTGCTTTGGAAATACCCTTGTCTCTCTGCAAAACATAGGGATGAAAAAGCAGAATTAGACAAAAAGCAACACACATAATCAGAAAGATAAATACTTTTCTGAGGAGAAATTGTATCTTCTGATTAGCAGACATCATACATCATTTTTTCAAGCAATGACTAAGCAGGATATAGCCCTATCTGCCTACAAATAGTTCCATAGTGTAAACATCAAGGCAACAGATGATTTATTTAAAGTGGCTCAAGTGGGTAGAGCTAGGAATAACAGGAAAAAATAATGGGGAAAAAATATGCAGACTAACAAGAGCATTTCTGGCACTGAGTCACGTAAAATTGTGCAAAGGCAAGGGCCAAAAGTCTCATATTCGAAACGTCAAGACAAAGCTGAACGAAGCCATGCCGAACTGAGGGATGGGTGACACTGTGATTCTGAGAAACTTTGCAACGCTGCAGTGATCTGTCATGGCATGAACCTTACTCACACTGTCACCATGACGTTAATAATACATTGAGAATAACTTTAAAACGTCCATAAGGAATGAAATCAGTAACTTATATTTTCTGGATCGTAATCTAATAAAGGTAATGATACATTATTTTTGTATGACGTGAGTTCATCAAGGCTTTAGAACAAAAGGCTAGCAGAAGAACTGCATAACACTGCGTAAGAGATGTACTGCAAAAGCAATTTCAAGATAGTGACATAATGCTGACAGCTCTGAAAGAAGTTTTCTCTAAGCCTAGGATTTATTATTGTTTCAGTGCTAGATCTTGTCAAACACAGCACAGACCCATGAATCAATATGAAAATGAAGTTACACAGTAACTTTGCAGGCTTTCTGTTCTTTATCTTTGCTGGTCCTGAAGTGTTTCTGATTTAGGGGAAAAGCAGGGCTTTGTTAGCCTCACTAAGCCACTCTTCAGAGCCTGTTCTGAAGCCTAAACAATTTCCACAGTTTTAGCTCTTTAATTCAGCACCACTTGTTGCTCTTTTTCCCCATGTTGGTAGTCAGCAGCCGTTGGAAATAACCTCAGCAGGTACAGGTGAGCCTACCTTCAACACAGGCCTACCATGGAAGAAAACTGAGAACAATCAAACAAAAAAGGGAATGCAAAAAAACAGGGGTGGAGTGGAAAATAGTAGAGGAGATGGAAGAGAGGAAAGAAGAACAACAAAGGAAAGGATGATAAGCAAGTAATGAACAGACAAGAGCATGGTTAGAGGCTGGAGACCTAACAAGAACAACGGAGTCAGACAAAGCAGTCTGGAGAGCAAGGTCGGACGGGAGTGCAAGAACACAATAGAGAGGCAAAGAAAAATGTTTTAAGAAGAGAAGACAGATCAGGCAGATCAAATGGCACAACAGGAACGGCAGCAGAATAAAACAAGTAACGGAGAAGCAGAAGCATGAAAGAACAGAGGAAACTGGGGAGCAGCGAAGTGAAAGCAGAGAAACTGAGTGCATTGGCCAATGGGTAACAATTCTGGCTGGTGTCTCAAGCTCTGGCTTTCTTTTCTATGCAGAAGTTTCTTGCTCTCGCAGACAACATACTTACACCAGGGAATGCTCTTTTTCAAACCAACTTCAGACCATACTGATAATTCTTGGTGCTGAGTTAACAGAAATCCAGGAAGGTTCTGTTAGGCTGGCGCAACCTTGAGACAATCTTTATTATGGTATGCTCAATGGTTACCTTTTTAATAATACTGGCTTAATGTAGTAGGAGTAGTTCTTGAAGCAGTACTTGAAGTAGTTCAAGCCCCTTAACTTTGGTACAGATAGGTTAGTCAGCAAATGCATCAAAGCAGTGAACTCCCATTAAAAAGAGAAATGCATTATGTCTGCAGGAAGTAACTCTACATGCGTTCACATTAGGAACTGTACAAGTGTTTCAATGAATAGTCATGTTTCGTCACCAAAAGTAGGACGTCAATATTAAAAGAACTGTGTATATATAGATCTAACTGAAGAGCAAAGAGCAATTACAATTCAATTCAATTTTTGTTGAGCAGAAAGATTGTGAAGACTGTATAAAGCAGAAGAGACCTCAAGAATTGTACGCAGCAGTGAGATTTAATATAAATTGGGTTCAGTACATAGAATCTCTGATAAATCTGGGTGAGGAATTTCAATAACGTGTGCTATAAAAATCTGTTAAATAGTATCAGTGTAAAACTATCAAATGAAATATATGAATATTGACTATTGACTGAACATTAGATCAAAATCAAAGTTAAAAAAAAACTCTTCAAAATTTGATTTTTTAGAGTTATAAATCAATGTTAAATATAGCCTAACCCACTTACATCTAGATTCACTGAATATGAGAACTGAAAAGCTTTTTAAAAATGAGGAACAGCATATGGATGGCCCAAAAATCAGAATTATATTACATGCCCCTATAATATACATTCAGTGCTATTTATCCCTAAAGGTAGAATACTTACAGGTTTTCGAGTTGGGGTAACTTGAACAGAATGATAGAATTCCGGTTGTACTCGGCTGCTTTTCTTGATTTTCCTTTTTCTCACAGAGGTTTCCTGCTCGCTTAGGTGGTGAGCTTCCACTAGAGGCTGTGTTTCCTCAAGGCGAGGTGCTACACGCCTTCTGGCATGACGAGGACTTGATCTAAAGCCCTGTAACCAAACAATCAATTATCATGTTTGACATGGCCCAGAATGGAGCAGTGTAACAACAGAGAAATCACACAGGATCTTAACGATTACAAGAACTTGAGATACAAGGATGCTCATCTTAAATTAGTATAATGCCCATATATACTGCATGTAACAATAAAGAGATGGTGTCAAGTGCTGCAAAGGACACAATTTTTTTTATATTTCTCAGTTGTGTATATTATTGACACAGCTAGTAGCAGTAACTCCTGTGGCTTTTCTTTATAAGCCCACACTTTTAGTTAGTTGTAACTGAATAGCTATAATCTAAAATTTATAATTAAAATTTTCCAGGTTCATTCATTGCCTCAGGAGAAACTGTTTTAGGGAGTGTGAGCAGAAAATACCAATTTTCTTTTCTGAGAATTAAAGTGAAGAAAAATGGGTAGCTAGCAACACAACAATGACTAACTGTTCCTGTTAAGAGTCCTGATGCTGCTAGATCTGGGGGGAGACCTTGCCATTTGGAATAAAATAATTAAGAGAGACATCTGTCTTTTGCTATTGTCTGGGAAATGCATGCATAGTTGGCCAAAATAACAATCTCAGGAAAAGCTGCCCTTCACAAATGCTTTATAGAGGCTGTGAAAACCTCTGAACATCATCCAGAACCTCTCAGCCTTAGAGAATTTCATTTACTTAATGGCAACAAGTACAATGCACGCCCTGTATTGCTACCTGCAGAGCATTTACACAGAGCATTTTTGCATTTCACTAGGTTCCCTCTGCCCCAATCACCACAAGCAGGCAGGAGCCTGCCATGCGTCATCTGTACTGAACGCAATGTTGGTTGATATTAAATCTGACCAGGTTGTAAATAAGATTTTTGTTGTCTTGGTCCTATCTGCTTTCAGAATAAATGGGCCAAATCTATGTCCTTGGTGACAGTCTGCAGTTCAAGGGCTCCATTCCCTTTCAAAATCAGGAATAGATGCAACAGTTCCTATTTTTCTACTTTCTTATTCCTTCCACTAAAATATTTCCACCAAAGTCAACTTCTATAAATACAGATTTTAGCTAAAACTGAAGCCATCTGTGCTCTGAACCTCAATGTCCTGAGCTCCAGCCAGTTGAAAACTAGGGGAAGCAATACATTTCCTTGTAAACCTGATGTTCTTTTTTTTTCTCCTTCCTTTTTTATTTTTTAATTATGAAATCGGCATAGGAAAACTATGCTCAAATGTTGCTATGGTCATAGATTGAAGTAATCAGAAGTCAGCTGGGTAGCTCCCCGTGCAAATTGGATTTATTCATCCAGTGTTCATGCCACTGCAAGGGGAGAGAGATGCAGTCTATGCTGGGCACTACAAGAGACTGGGCAGCTTTAGTTCATTAAAGGTATGCTCCACGAAGTAACAGCCAAAATACACAAACACATTTACACACACATGCTAGTAGCTACTACAGACGTATATAGCATGCAACATGATGTGAAAAGGCTGAAGTGCCAAGACGAAGCATTGGAGCTTGGATGCTGATCTAACTTCCTGTAGCAACCTGCTGTTCCTGGACAGGAATCGAGGCCAGCTCTACTTAGTCCATGCAGGGTTAGGTTCATACGTGTGCCAAATCAAGGCTATCAAACACACATGATGAAAAGACACAACCAAAATTGAATCCTGATATACAGAATCACAGAATCACAGAATTCTAGGTTGGAAGAGACCTCAAGATCATCGAGTCCAACCTCTGACCTAACACTAACAGTCCCCACTAAACCATATCCCTAAACTCTACACCTAAACGTCTTTTAAAGACTTCCAGGGATGGTGACTCCACCACTTCCCTGGGCAGCCTGTTCCAGTGCCTAACAACCCTTTCAGTAAAGAAGTTCTTCCTAACATCCAGCCTAAAACTCCCCTGGTGCAACTTTAGCCCATTCCCCCTCGTCCTGTCACCAGGCATGTGGGAGAACAGGCCAACCCCTACCTCACTACAGCCTCCTTTAAGGTATCTGTAGAGAGCAATAAGAGCAACAACCCCTCCTGACTTTGATTCCCAGTATCCTTAATGGAAGCAGGACCCTGCCCATATAAGCCAAGACAAGCTGCAGGGAAGCTCCTGCAGCCAACAGACCTGAGCAAGATCTCTAAACATTCAAAGATGTAAACCTGTGAGATGCTCCATCACACTATTGCAATGGGAAAGGCTTTTGCACCTTGTTTTTTTCTGCACACTGTGAACAGCTACTCACAGTGCATCATCTGTACGGTGTATGAAGGCATTCAGGATAACAAGGAAAACCACAACTACTCTTACAGAGCTCACGTGTTGCAAAAAAAAATTCTGAAAAAATGTTAGCGTGCATCAGGGATTATTCCATAGTAAAAGAAAATCCTCTTTAAGGGACCAAAATACCCAGCAAATCTATTTTGATTTTCTAAATGTTAAACAGATTGTGATTCATTCACAGATGATGGCTCCTGGGTGAAGCCAGGTTACGTACCCAGCACTTCAGACGCTCCCCTACCACACTCCCATCCCCATTAGCTAGATAAAACTCTTTGGGAAAGTACGTTTACGTAACAGAAGAATTTGGTGGAAGCTAAGCAGCTCTAAAAGTGCTTAGAGACACATGCCAAATAGGGATTTAAGTATGTGGGTCTCTCACTGAATGACTTCACTTCAAAATACTGGGGGGTTACTAACTGAGTCTTGTGCTTCGGTTCTAAAAAGTCACTTGTGACTTCCAGAGAAGTCTGTTTACGGACAGCACTCCTCTGTTGTATTTTCCATGGTTTTTTTTCTGTTTTGCTGTTTATTACTAGCAAGAAAATGGGATCTTTATCTCTTTAAGAGCTCATCTGCTTCTACTGCTGCAGCTTATTCTTTACTTGAAGTCATAATCTGTCTGCAGTATCGCAAATGGTCGCTCTGGAGAGGATTATAATGTGATAAAGGCCGAGGATCATGATTTCAGGTGGAAAATTAATTCCTTATCAACAAAGATAATGTTACGAGGGCAGAGTCCCTTAGGCCAAAACCTGAAATGCTTACTCATTTCTGCAACGAGACTTTGCCAGAGCAAAAAGCCAAATCCTGAAGATTTCAAAATCTGGCAATCAAAAATGCAGAAATGACTCAGAAGTGATGCAATGCATGGGAGCCGCTGCTCCCAGGCTCGGTGCAAAACCAGAGCAGCCAGTGATGCCTTCAACAGCTAAATGAACAGATGCTCAGTGTTGTCACCTGCGTTTCTTACCCTTCAGTTGAACCCGAAGTCGAAAAAAGTTGAAGACGTTGTCATACTAACAGAGCAATCAAAATTAAAAAAATAAAAATAAAGTGAAAATAACAAAAGCGTCTGTGCAGTGAGACAGAGCTCCCACAGGTAGAACAGAAAAGCCATACAAAATATTCAGGGGGGCACACAGTATACCATCTGACACCAAATCACTGAGGAAATGCTGGAGATCTTAAGATCAACCAGGCAATCCGAGGCTGCTATAACACCAATAAGCAACTGGTGGCTTCTGGTGTCGTGTGAATGCTGTGTCACTGCACAGTGCCAAAACCTCCTCTTGTTCTTTGCAGTTGAGAGTGAGCTGTTCCTAGACCCTGCTGTCCTGCCTCATTTTTTATCCCTATAAAATTACACCATGACAAACCAAACAAGTACTACTTCAAATACATATTTTTTTAAAAACTCCCTTTTCTTCTAAATACTAAAAATAACCACACAAAGGGCATGGATTTACACCACAGGATATTCTTCCTTAAAGAACTCGGATGACCACCAGAACCAGTTTTAGGTATCACAGAGGAAGACAAGAAAAAAAAAACAATTTGGGATTATCTTGTCTCCAAAAGCATTCATGCTCATCCTTCTGGTTAGCTCCCTCAAGGCAGCATTTCTGCCTCTGGAAGGAGGCTAGGAGGATCTGCCTTTTAGCTGAGCTTCGTGAATTAATCCCTTTATGTCTTCTCTACAAGTTGTTTTTTTTTTTTTTCTGGAATGAAGTGTGGTAATATTGAATAGACCTTTTGTGCCCGTCTTTTCATCCAACCCCATGATGAATGCTCCAAATCTGGGCACCGTGTTCCAGCGTGCACGACCGACTGGTTGTGTAAAATGAATTCCACAGCAAGATGCTCAGTTGAAAAATAAATAAATAAATAAATCTTCTTATCCTGCCAAATTTTAGCTTCACACCTCTGATTCAGTGTCTGAATTGTGTACAGAAACACAGTGTGGGATTCCTCTCAGCAGAGCTCCCCGGGCTCCCTTTGGAGACAGCAGGGTCAGAAGAACTGGGACTGCTCCCCTTGGCTGGCCATAAAGGCAGCCCGGGCTGACTGCTTCACCCTCAATCGATGCTGCAAGTGTCCAAAATTAGACAGGATGGATCTGACCCATGATGACCACACAGAGGCTGAAGTCTGCCTTCTGTACAGTATTCGTCTTACTTTATATTTTTCCTCTCTCTACATGAAATAATGTCCCTTGCAGTGCTTTTTTTGTCTTGAGAATTTTAGATGTCCTTATTGACAGGCATAACCCGTGCCAGATCCCCATTCAGCACTGTATTCTTATAAATTTGCATTATTGATAAATATATTTAATAGTATTGTGTTCTATTCTGCTTAAATATTTCCCATCCCACCTGCTTTTTTGATGGAGCTATACATCCAACAAAGCTCATCACTGAATTATCAAGAGTAATTCAAAAAGCTCTTTCTGGAGACCATAAACTTAAAAATTAATCAAGTGTATACCTCACTTTTCCCTGGAATATGCCCAGCATTCCATTTATTAACATTGAACAGCACATGTATTCATCTGTCCTGTTCTTCAGAATTTCTTTGGTGTGGTCTGGTGTTTGATAACCACGTACGTGACACACTGCAGGCTTTGTCAGGTCATTGCTTATTCCCCCTACTTCCATTACAAGACCATTAGTACAGAAAAAAAATATGAAACTTTCTAAACAACTTGTTTATTTTTTGCTTTTATTTATCTT